ATATATATATATATATATATATATATATATATATATATATATTAATTAATTTAGCTGATGTAAAATGAACGAATGATATTTTGGTTTGAATTTGACAGGGAAAATAATCCCGCAGGCGCGAGTTGTGCAGAGCAGAGCGCTTCTCGTATCGAGGTCGGGTTCATTTGTGTTCGTAAGCAAGCGGCGGTAGAAAGGTTAGGATTTTCATAGCGCACGAAGCCGAAGAGTTTCAGCAGCCAAGAGCCACTCTGCGCTTTGCACACCCATAGTTTCTTCATTTCTTCACCAACATTCAATATTAATGGCCTTCTGCTTTCTTCACTCTCTACCCACTATGTTAACTCTGTAGACAGGGAAATGGAGGCCATAGGCAGCCTTTTACCCTAGCCCCACCTACCCAGCCATGCGTTTTCTTCATCACAATCAGTGTCTTTATAGCTCCTTCTCCAAGCTCTCTTCCCTTTCCTCCTCATTTTATCTAATGGGTTCCTTTAATTTATGCAAGTCGTCTTCTCTGCTATTCCTGTCGCCCCTTTCTTCTTCTTCTTCTTCTTCTTCTTCTTCGCAGAGGTTTTTCCTGTACAAAAGCAATTCTGTTCTTCATGGTTCATTTCCTGTACGACCCATGTCCCGTGGCAAGGCGTTTTCCATGAAACCAAATGGGGTTTCGTCTTTCACTTCTCATGCCAATGTTCCCAGACCTCCAGGTAATCGCTTTTGAGCTGTTTAGGGCTTTTGAATTGTAGTTAGGCTTGTAGTTAGACTCGTAGTTAGGCTTGTAGTTAGACTCGTAGTTAGGCTTGTAGTTAGACTCGTAGTTAGGCTTGTAGTAGACTCGTAGTTAGGCTTGTAGTTAGACTCGTAGTTAGGCTTGTAGTTATACTCGTAGTTAGGCTTGTAGTTAGACTCGTAGTTAGGCTTGTAGTTATACTCGTAGTTAGGCTTGTAGTTAGGCTCGTAGTTAGGCTTGTAGTTAGGTTTGGAGCAACCTGATGTTTCCTGGCTGGGTGGTTCGGAGAGGCTATGTCTTGTATTTCTCGAAAAAACAATTCGATTGATGGGATTGAGATTGATTTTCCGATCTTTCTTCTTCGAACGTATTGATTTGACCCCCTAAGCGGGACTGCCAACCCGTAGCATGTTGCCACTCGAAGTAGAACCCCATATTTCTTCTAGAGAATCTCCTAATGGTTCTAAAGCGACTAGAAAGAGATTTTTTAACAAGAAAGAATTCAGTTCACTTTTAAGACAGCAAGGTAGTTTGCAGGCAATGTCTTGACTTGATGTTTGTTTAGTTTTAACGTTATTTTGCATCTCTTTTTCGTGCAGAATTTATGGAGAATCCACTAGCTGAGGCTTTAAGCTTGACTCGATTGAATATTCTGAAAAAAAAGTTGCAGGAACTTGACATTGATGCTGAATTTTGTGTTCCTGGGCAGACCAACCACTTGCTTTGTCCAATGGTATTGGGTTTCTAATATCAGTTTCTTTATGCTATCTTGAGATATTTATCCAATTTGTAGAAGTGAAAACAGCTTCCAGCTTCTAAAAGATTTTCTTTATAAGAAACCTGAAGATATATTGATGAAAAAACAAAAAGACAGCCTAGGGGTAGCGGAAGAGAAACTCCCCCTTTAAAGTATTTAATCACAAGAAGGCTTTCCAATATTGAAGGATCATCGAGAGACAATAATTACAAATTTTTTTGCTATTTTTACCGTACTGCCAAGAAGCAATGAGCTTTATATTATTTTAAAAGTTAGTAAAAACAGAGAACTTATGTTCAGAACTCCTGCGATTTCTTTCCAACTTGCATCCCCGGAGGTTCTCGGACTTCGTAACTTGAAAGTAGTTGGGTAGAACCAACCTTAGCCACAAATTCTAAAGGCATCCTCACACTAAGGGGGCAAATTGAAAACCTGAGTAGCTTTAAAGGAATGGCCAACATCTATGAGCAAACTAACAATGTAGGAAAACATGATCCAAAGGGGCCATGGAGATTCCTCCACCACCTCGTGGAAGAATCTTATAAAGGTTAAATATGCTTCTACATCATGTACTAATCGATCCCTCCCCAACTTTTGTAAAGGGGCAATGTAAGTTTGTAAAAAAGCATCAAAACCTTATCACCAACTGCATTCGCCATAGGGTGGGTGATGGAGGAAACACATCTTTCTGGATTGACCCTAGGATCGACAACACTATGCTAGCTTTGTGGTATCATCTTTTGTATAGGCTCTCTCATTGCAAGATGACCATGATCAAAGAGACCATGGTGCAACTACTTTAACAGGGTTAGCTTGCAAATTTTACTGTCATTTTTTGCATTTCTCAAGAGGTACTTGGAGATGATCTTAGTATGGAGGTGATGAAGAAACACTTCGCACACAGATAGATCCACATACAATACAATTGGAGACACTATTTTCTAGACACACTGTGCTTGAGATTTTAAACGATAGTAAGGGAACTTGGAATGGTAACGGTTTGGACGAAGAAAAATTTAGGAAATTGTTTGAAAGTCTCGACTAATGTCTTTCCTACTTATTGCTGGAACTGGCTTTACATATTATTTTTTCGTTTTGGTTCCAATAAATTGGTTTAACTTGTTGCCTTCATCTATTGGTTATAAACTTGAAACTTCTAAGTGAAACGAGGTAGTTTTGATTTATTTAAAATCTTCAAAATTTTAATTTTAATTCTGTATCAAATTGGTGCCAGTGCAAAGGGGGCGATTCAGGGGAACGGGCCTTATCCCTACATATCTCAGAAGATGGGTAAGATTTATGGCATCTTTTTATTTGTTACAGTGATAGTCTTTTTGTGTGTATCTTTTATGGTTTATATATGTTTTAAATGTTCTTGTGGAAGTTATTCAGGATGATTTTTAAATGGCATCTTTTTGGGCATTACAGGGAGGGTTTTTTTTCTCGTTATTTTTGTGCGTGCCACGAACCTAGTTTGACTTCTCACCTTTATCTTTGTGTCCAACGAAATTATTACTTTTCTCATGTACAAAAAGTGGTTGGATTTCCTTTCCATCCCTTACACTTTTCAATCCTTCAATTCCATTGTCCTATATTCTGCAAACTTTGTCTTTTCGAGTATTGTAGGTTTCTAATTTTTATTTCAAATATCAGGGGAGCTGCTGTTTGGATGTGCTTTCGTGCAAAATGTGGTTGGAAAGGCCGTACTCTGGTATTAATAATAATTCATTTGGGTGTGCTTTTGTGCAAAATGTGGTTGGGCCCTTTCACACAGGGTCAATTTTGAAAAGTCATTCCGTTATACCTCCCTCTTTGTTAATTGGGAAGGTTTGTTTGTAAACATCATGACATCCATTTTATAAATTTCAATCATCAATGAAATTGTCTCTTATAAAAAAAGAGTTGTTCGATTATTG